TTCCGTATCGTGCGTGGCTTGGACTGTGCTCTCATGTGTGACGACTTTTTTCCACTTGCCACTAAAATTCATATCCGGGGACATCCCTTCAAACTGTATGTGCCCCAAGGACGATTGGATGTGAGGACGTATTTTTTTCTCTAATTTGGTCGTGGACCCGTGGAATAACCTTCCCAAGGCGATTATTATGTCCCAATCTGTGGAAACATTCAAACACCGACTTGATATACAAATGATACAGCACAACGTGAACTAGGTGACAAATTTATCTTGAAACATCACTGCACCATTCAACGGTTTATATTTTCCTGACTGAAAACTTGTTAACATTGCTTATAACTCTTGAGATTTTGATGTGACAAATAGGGAGTTCAAAGGCGGAAGCCTATTTTTTCCTCAATATACAGACTGACTGACTGATTATCGACTGAAGTTAAGACTAAGATGGGTAACCCCAACAGCTACGATCTTCCAGGCCCATGGTTCCCTTAGGTACTGAGGGATGACTTTGGGAAAGCCAGATTGTTAGGAATAGTGTATTCTGCGGAAGGATAGAAGAATAGGTGGAAAGAGATTTGAATCTCAGCTAACCGCAGTCTGGCTGCCAGGACGTCAATTCCGGATTGACAGGGGCATCTGAAATCGTCGCACTATCTGTGCCAGCTTTGTTACAGCCACCAATGGCGCGGCTTATGTCTAGACTAGCGGCGTGGATCGACCTTGAGGTGGGCGAAGGCTGGCTAGCGTGAGCGCGCGGTCACGATGAGGCGTATGTGCGCGTTGGTGAAGGACAATTAGCGCCTAGCCCCAGGAGGCAGTGGGCGCGCAGGCAGGCTTAAGGCGCCATGCGTCAGCGGCTGATCGTGGGTTCCAAGTGGTTGCAAAAGGCCACTACAGGAGGTCACGAAAAACTGTCATGATGACGAGGTAAGAGGCCCCACGTGAACACGACACATCATGTTAGTTGAAATTCGAGTAATGACCGATAATATAAGCACCCATTCTTTCCCGGTTTGTGCAGTTCATATCATACTGAAGTTTACCCCTGAGTGCTCATGATGGTGTTTGTCCACTTTTTGCCCTCCCCTATAACGGAACAAGCTGCACACCTTGCGAAAGTTTTTCCCCTACCTCATTTCATATTTATAAAAAGTGGCTTTGCCAGTTTGTTTCTTGTTGTTTACTCTTCCTACGAGTTGACCATTACTGCCTGGCCATGCCGCTATAGACGTTGTCTTTCACCACCTAGATGATATCATCAAGGAAATTTTACTACAGACATGTCTGTGGTAAATTTACTTGAATATCTGAGCAAAGTCTCCAGAAGGGCTTAATATTCACACAGAAACATACAGGAAAGCCCCTAATAATTTATGAATTTGAGGATTTCCCAGTGGTTGAATGGTTCGAACGGCTGAGTGAGTAGATTTTCTTCACTGTAATTACCGCGCCAATAATAAATGCCGCGCCATCGCGGATAAGTAGTTGTTTTTCGTGAATGTCAAGCAGAAGGGCAAACAAGACACGAGGTCTACGACAGAAGAATCCAGAGTCTGTGTTATTTATTCCAACATCCGGTCATCGGGCAGAACCGGGTAGTGTCGAACGTCTTAAATATCTAGAGTCTTTGGTTAACGAGTTCCGCTGTGCAAACTTACCTGAGTATAAGGAGCAGGTAAGAACAACATTTCCCTTCATGATATTCAGATCGTTGCAAATTTGGGTAATTTTGCCCATGATCCGAGAAACTCGCGTCAACTGATTGGTATCGGCGTTTCCGAATTGCTGGTGGACACGATTGAGTCCACATTTAACCAGTCACAATTGCAAGGCAAGTGAAGAAAAACAGTCGACGTTAAAAGTTTCTGTGACAAAAAAATTTTGTGAATATTTTCATGGGTAGTCGTTTGTCAAAAACTTGCCAATCTTGTTACGCACTTACTCTTATACTGGCCTGCGTTGAGTATTGAGGCTTTGCCTTGCTAATGCCCCTACACCAGCCGTCTGGACATCTTGCGCGACGTAGCGCATTTAGTACTTATATTCTTAATTGGGTAAGGTCATAGCTTTATCAAACATAGTAGGAAAGCTCTTATGACCTATCCTGTGGCGTGTCATCAGTGATCTGGCATTACAAATACACCGCTAGTAAATTAGAAGTCACAATTATTATACACAACTACGTAGGAAAATCCCATGAATCGAAAGGCGATCAGGCTACTTACTGTACGTGGTGTCCGTAGATAAGTAGAAATTCGTTCTCAACCCATTTTCCTACCCCTACCTGCCTGCAGTACTTCAGCCCTCCAATTCAACCGAATTACAAGCGGATCCGACGCATTCCTCTCGACTTCTGTCCCTTTCTGTCGCTAGCCTGACAAATCTCATTTCGTCTTCTCAAACCATTCGGAAGGATCTTTTCACGTCTGGTGCTGTTCCTCTCTTAACAAACTGTCTACAATCTTCTGATCCGGAAGTTGTAGTGAACGCACTGACTTCTCTTGTGTACCTGTGCACACCAACCTCTCAAACTCCAGCTCTGGATTCGGCCGGTGTGAAAACCTTTCAGGCTTCCCTATCCAGTCTATTTCCGGGCCTCTGTGAGCGAGTTAGATCGTTAACTAGGACCTACACCCCACTGCCCGATCGAAGAATCCCTATCCTCGCAGAAATTTTCCTGACAGACTGCAGTGGTGCCAATATCTGAGATGTCCACTACACACCTCTGTAGACTGCCTCTCCTCTTGCTGACTCCCAAGCTGACCCTACTAGGCCCGTTTGTGCATCTTCCCTCGAGATTCTGCTATGCACAAAATACAAGGCTTTCTCGAACAAAGCTGTCACACGAATTTCGAGAGGAAACCAACTCTACGAAGGTTAGTGTCTATATGTACTCCCTGTCCCTCCTTAGTCCGTGAATTTAACGGACATCCGGAGCATTAGGCTAATGCTTTCATGCAGAAAAATAATCAATCTCTCAGTATTGTACGCACTTCCCTTGCTTATAGACTGTCCATCGCAGCAGGCGATCAACCGCCCCCTTATCTTCTCTCTCTGTCCAAGAGCCAATTTCTCCCGCTACTTCAATTTCCAATGTCCTCCGTTTAATCGAATCACCTCAGCCACCTCAACCATTCAGCCGTCCTGGCACGGAGACCTCGGAGAGAGGTTAGCTCGCTGGGCCAACGTGTTGGCTATGACTTAATTTATTGCTGCCTGCGAGACCGTCGAAATTGTACAGCACAATTATCCATTGCCTCCCTTCTGCTAGCGTTTCTCATATTTATTTTGCGAGTAAGAGTACGTAGTTGACGAAAACATTTATTTACATTTCGAGCATATGTTTCGTTAAGCTAAGCTAAACGGTCGATTACAGGTGTTCAACACAGTTCTCCGGTCGCCCATGCTTGCTTTCTGGCCGCTGATTTTTATTTCCTCAAATGCACGTCAAAGTTCGTTTGTTTGTGCATTTCGTCAAGCTTGCCAATTCCTCTGAACTATCGGCGTATTTTGCGTGCTAACTAACTAAATCCGCCTATCCCACTCCGACGTTTAGGGCTATAGGTATGTGAAGTAAAATACGTCCGAACCGTGTGTTTACATATGAGATAGAGTGGACGGCAGTATCCCACTTGTTTCAACTTCTGTTGCTATTGTTTTCCCCACTGCATCGGCACCATATTTGGGACTGCGAAAGAATCAAACCAAATGTGTTGCCTTCTGCAACCAGATTAAGAAGCAGATTTAATTGCCTGTCCTACACCAAACTTTGTTTGAAGTGGTGGATTGCTTATACAGGAACACCTCTACTTGCATTATCTTTGCTGAATCCTATGCCTATGCCCTAAGCTAGCGGATATCCGAGCCAAAACAGAACACTTCAATGCGTCTTGAAAAAATCGACAGTCTAAATTGGAGGGCATGGCTTATTTATGCACAACCTCACCTTGTTACACCTGCACAACAAATCGCCTGTTGAACTTCAGCTTCCACTACTCGTCATGCCCCGCCTGATGCTGTCTATGTGGCCGCCTCGCCGGTGGTTCGTCCACCGGAACGTCTTCTCCAGCACACAGTGTCTGTGTGCGCCGCGCTCTCCAAGGCTCGTCTCACAGGCCTTGTGGTTTCCACGGCAGTTGCCGGTTGTGTACTTGCTGCACCCACTTCCTTCGCCTCTGAGGTCTTCCTCGCGCATCCGGCCACCATGATGTTCTCCCTGGCTCTCGGCACTGGCCTCACCTCGGCTGCCGCCAACACAATTAACCAAGTAAGTCTCAAACCTCAGACCGCATCTTTAACTTTTTTATTCCTCTCCTCTGTTCTCTGCGGTGTCTTTTCATCGTTATCCTTCACGCAATCCCTCCATCCCATACAGCGATTTGTTTATTTAGGCCATGTTTAAGTTACATGAAAGCAGCTCCTTAAGTCATTAAATGCCCTAGCTTTCTTTCCTGTTTATAACTTGACCCTCAACTCACTAGTCTAC